AGTTTCTACATTTTTAAATGGTTGGAAAAATATGTTTTTAAAGTATAATTTTTGACATGTTGAAATTATGTAAAATTCCAGTTTTAAGGTCTGTCAGTAGGTTTTATTGGAACACAGCCATGTTCACTGGCTATTTTTGTGACATAACCACCAAGTTGAATGTTTGCAACCGAAACCGTATGGCCTGAGAAGGCCTAGAATGTTAACTCTATGGCTCTTTGCAGACAAAGTTGCTGACCCCTATTCTAGACCCTACATTTTCTGGCACAGCTTGGGCTTTGGAGTCAGGAATGATTTGGGCTTGAAGTCTAGTTTTGTCCTTTTATTTGCTGTGCAACCTTAAGCAAATCGCTTGCTTTCTCTGAGCCTTAGTTTTGTAATCTGTTAAATGGGAATAATATCTTTGTTGTTGTTAATCCTCACCCGAGGGTATTTTTTCCATCGCTTTTTTAGAGAATGGAAGGCAGGGTGGGAAGAGAGAGAGAGAGAAAGAGAGAGAGACCACGAAGCTTTCTCTGCCCTGACCAGGACCCACCTCCAGAGAAAACCCACCAAGGCCACCAGCTCTGTCTTGATGATCAAGTTCAAAATCCGTCCCCCGGGGTGCGCTGAGTCGAAATCACGGTTCCCCTAAGCCCTGGAGTGGTTTCTGTTATTCTAATCATTTTACACTGGCTCAGCCATTCCTGGAAGAAACTCCCCCACCTTTCATTACATCCACTTCCTGGGGTGTTTGCGGGGCATCTGCTTGCTGCCAGGTTCTCTACGGGGACACACAGCCTTGTCTTCAGGGCCCTGGAGACAGGCCCAGAGGCAGGTGCCCCGAGGCCGTGTTCAGCAACGTCTGACTTAAGGCCTGGCCAGGCCTGTCATCCCGAGAACTCCCGAGGGAGGTGCTAACGGTGAGCTCGCCTCACCCGTGCCCAGCCGGTGCCAGGCTCTACACCAGGGGTCCTCAAACTCCGGCCCGCGGGCCACATGCAAATACAAATATTGTATTTGTTCCCGTTTTGTTTTTTTACTTCAAAATAAGACATGTGCCGTGTGCATAGGAATTTGTTCATAGTTTTTTTTTTAAACTACAGTCCGGCCCTCCAACGGCCTGAGGGACAGTGAACTGGCCCCCTGTTTAAAAAGTTTGAGGACCCTGCTCTACACCCTCTCGTTTATCACTCACAACCGCAGTGGGCGGCGGCCTCATCCCAAATTTGCAGATGGGGAAACTGAGGCTCAGGGGGGTTTTGTGTGCCATGCCAGCCTGAAGGGGAGCTCAGATTCTAGCCCAAAGTGGGCTGGTTCCAGAGCCCGGGTTCTTTTTTTTCTTTTTAAAATATATTTTTTATTGATGTCAGAGAAGAAGGGAGAGGGAGAGAGCGATAGAAACAGCAAGGATGAGAGAGAATCATGGGGCGGCTGCCTCCTGCACGCCCCTCACTGGGGATCGAGCTCGCAACCGGGTACGTGCCCTGACCGGGAATCGAACCCTCACCTCCTGGTTCATAGGCCGATGCTCAACCACGGAGCCATGCCGGCCGGGCTCAGAGCCCGTGTTCTTTACCGCTCTGTCCCCCAAAGTCTCCCACACCCTCTCCTGAGGCCCTCACCTCGCAGCCAGCGCAGAAGAAAGTAGTCGTCAGCTTTGGGCATGGTGGGCAGCAGGTCCTGGAGGTTGTCCTTGAACTGAGGGGGGGATATGATTGTCAGAGGGGCTGCCATGATCCCCAGGGTCCCCAAC